TACTGTGAATACCTTTGCCCATTAGCTTTGTGAGGGAGAATCTTAGGGAGTCTTTACTTTAGGGCTAGCTTAGTCTTAAGACTGAGGCATAGCTTTTCCTGGATAGTTTCCAGGTGCTCCGCAAGGCACATTCACTCCTGCTTGTCCACACTCAGGCAGTCTTCAGGCCTGTGTGAGCTCTGAGTTTTAGCCTATCCCCCCTACCTACCAGCCTCGGCCTGGCTCAGTGGACTTTTCATACTATACACGCTTGGCTTATTACTCAATAACAGGCCCACAGATTTATATGGCTCTTTCTTAACCAAGTTTCCTTCTGTTTGGTGCTCCATCCCACAAATCCTGGCTGCTTCAGCTCTCTCCACCTTGATGTTATCTCCTCACCTCAGTGAGAAAACCCAGATATGCTCAGGTTATTCCTTTCTGCATCACATCTGAAAAGTGCCCCCAGGCAGAAAGCTGGGTCAACTGCAGGCTCTACTTCCTTTGTTTCCACCCTTCCCAGAACCACAGTTCTGTGTTAGATCTGTTGCTGTGTCCAAAAGAAGTTGTCTCATAGTTTGCAATTCTCCAATTGTCAACAGTGGGGAAGCAAGCAGAACTGCAGTTGTACTCTCCTAGCTGGAAACATAATTTACTGAAAATACCTTTGACATTTTTATAATCATACTTAGAAATAATGTTGTGGGCCATTAACATTTTATTTTTATTTTTTCTTAGGTACTGGGAATTGAACTTGGGACCTTGAGCTTGCCAGGCAGGCTCTGTGCTGCTGAGCTATATCCCCGGCCCTAACATTTTAATTGGACCAAATGAGTTATCCATGTCAACTTGGTGGACAAAGTAGGATACTGTCTAAATTTAACTCCGTGTGCCTCCAAAGAGATCTGTACTTCATATACATATTCTTGATTTCTTTGGTAAAATCAGTCTGATAACAGTGGATAGTAAGATGGGACTGATTGTGCTGACTGCTGGTGACACTGACCTGGGAAGTATCGTGATGACAGGGCCCAGCAAGGCTCCTGACCATCTGGACACGTTCTCTTCAGCTTTAGAAAGAAGGCGAAGATGCCTGGCCACCTAATCTGTACTCAGAGTCTAATTGCCAAACTCTATGCTAGCTCCATTTATTATTTCTGCCTGGCAGCAGAAAACAGGTCTTGTTCACAGGCCAAATTCCAGTGTGCTTTTCTCTGATATACACATTCCTCTGATCATTACTTTTGGATGTCATAAGAAAGATGAGACTTTGATACATTTCTGCAAGGCAGTATCTTATAAAAAGACACATTAAGATAACTATGTTGAATTATATAATTTCAAAACAAGGGCTCTGTGTACTGTTTTTTATGTTGAATCCTCCCTTCCCTGAAAAAAAAAATAGCAAATTCTCAGTAGTCTTAAAAATGTAACATTAGGTTCAGAATAACCCAATTTTTTTATTTATCAGGAAGCAGAATAAGGGGGGGGGTCTAACAACCCCCCGCCCCCGCCCGAGAATTAGAGGAGTAGACTCTATCTGTTCTTTCAATTTAAGTAATCTTGTCTGGCCTCCACAAAACTTATATCATCTCTTCCAGAAACTTCTTTCTCTTCAGCCCATAGAGAAGGACAGAAGTACAGCCACTTCTGTGGATCTGGAATTATTTTGGCAAAAACTAAGTATTGAGGCATTTTGGGAAAAAGATGTCATTCATCATTTAGAAAAAGTGAGTTTTTTTTTTTTAAATCATATCAAGAAAGGGAATGGACAAACAGATCACCATCTCTTGAAAAGAATATTTGTTAAATACAAAATCCTTTTTCCTTTGCTGTCATCTAATTACAGATCCAACTGTTACCTGGGAATGGGTGAATAGCAATATAAAACTTCTACGCAGCATGCGTACCACACGTAACTAAGCAGAGGACACATCTGATAAGCCAGTGGGAATGAGGTGCTTTGCTTGAAGTCTAGGTTTTAAATCACTGTCTTGTGGACTTACAGAACAATCGGTATCACATTTGTTTCTTCTCTACGCTTTGTGATAGTTGACTAATCAGAACATTTCTATGAAGCGCTTCATTGATTTGAGCACAAGAGCAGTAGTTCTCAGCCTAGAACATTCTAGAACCAGCCACACTGCTCATCCACACCAGTGAGGTCGAACATTAGCCGGAGTGCCACAGTCTCAGTGTTTTTGTTAAGGGCCTGAGGTGGTTCTAACGGGCACCCAGCACCAAGAACCTTTGTTAGACTGATAACTGAAGTGAAACTGGAGAGCAGGGAATTACACACAAGAGGATTAAGTGGTTTTCTTGCTCTTCTGTTTATGCTCATTTGTCCCCCCTGATATGCCTGCTGCCCTGTTGAACGCTGCCCACACCCACCCCCAGCCAGGGCTCCTATCACATCTGTATTTCTGAAAAGAACCCATCAGTTCTGAAAATGAAATGCTCAAATATGATATGCTCCCAGTCTAGGATCTTCCAATGATTTAATTATCTAATTACTGGAGCTGGCTGCCAAGCACAAAAGATTTCATTCAGTTTCACTATTTTATAACACAGTTCAAAAAACATTTGAATTTCTAATTCAACTTTTGTTCTTTTGAGGCTCTTCCGGAGAGTGTTAGGTAACTCTAATGATAGCTCCATTATTGGACTTATAATCACTCTGAGGCTGCGCTTCAGTTTGGGTGTATAATAATACACACGCTAAAGGAGAATTGGTCCTGCCATCGCTTAATTATCCTAAATTGTGTTTGTTTTAAATAGACTCCCCTGACGGAAGAGATAGAATGTTGAGGGGGAGGGAAGCCAAACAGGATGCAGAGAATACAAAGGCAGGAAGAAACAATAGCAGCCAGGTTAAGAAACAAAGTCCTTATCTTCCGCTCTGTACACATTCTCAAGCTCAAAAGTACATCTTGCTCATTGTTCTTTATTCCCACACAGACAGAGACATTGAGGGAGCGCGTGTGGTTAAGACAGCATTCCTAGACCTTGACCGAAGAACTGTGCTAAAGAGACAGTTCAGCACTGAGCTGTCACAATTCAAGGGTTTCGAGAAGCGGCGAATTGTGAGAGCCCTCTTCCAGTCAGCCCGGGGATGGACGGCAACTCGGTGCCAGTCGCCAGCAGTGTGACTCCACAGCCACCAACAACACAGCCACAGCATCAAATTTACCTTCACATCTATGAAACACACAGGGCAAGGATGGTGTTTCCGCTAAAGCAATCCCACCTTTGTCCCCAAACCAATAACTGCTCACTTTTGATAGCAGTTCAGACGGCCCTGTAAAAGGATGCACTCATTTCTCCTGTGAGGCTCCATTTCCGGAGAGCTGGGGACGGCACGGCAAGGCAGGCACAGTGTGAGGAGGGGTTGGACCTCCAGAAACCCCAGGTGAAAAGAATCTGAGGGGAGACAGACCATCCCGGGCCTGCAGATGTGTCCCTGGGGCTTCAGGCTACTAAACTATTGAGTGTTAATTACTTTCCAACATTTAAGCAGCGTTCATATAAATGCTGTACTTCCAGATTCTCTGCAAACACTAAAACATCTAGAAACAGTAGACTCTACTGGGGAAGAGTAGCCAGACCTGAGTGGTGACTGCTCTTTCTGGGGGCCTTGACTCTCTTTACTTGTTATATTACTACTGGACTCGGAAGTCACTTGCCTTTGTCACTCCAGCACACACCCCCAGCCTGGCCTGGACACCTCGCTCCATTCCAAAGTATCTTTAAAATTGCAAAGTGAGGCCCCGTGCAAGGGATGGGAAACACCACAGATGATGTGATTCAGAAATGAGTTAAATAAATGTACACTAAATGTGCAAGGTGTGTAGGTATCATGTGTGAGACGAGGGATCTGAAAGGTGTGATCTGTTCTAAGAACCCTTGAGGTCCATGCCTGGGCCACCGAGCAGGTTGCTCAAACCAGCTGTCCTTCATTCATTCTCTGGTAGGGAGAGAAAAAGGGAAATAATTTTCTTAGCCTTAGCTGGGTGATGAGAAAATGCAAGTGCTGTGCTGGAGGGAGAGCAGAGCTGTGATTATTCGTCCTTCCCTCTGCTGCCCCGCTCAGCTCTCCAGGTTGTATCTGGCTCACTCCTGAGGAAGTCTTGCGCATTCCAAGTTCCTGGGCATGTCTACACCTGTGTGGCAGTCCCTGCCGCTGCAGTGTGTCTGCCTTTTAGCTCTGTTTGGATTATGAGCTGCTTGAAGGAAGCCAGAGAAGATAAAATCTAAGCCAGGACTATGTCCTCAATGCTCAACCTACTACCACAGTAGGGGTATGAAACTGTCACATGACTCAAAGATGTGATCTCAATGAAGATGTCCAGCCCCTCCGGAGAGCCTACGTCAGCAACAGAGTATTCCACTTGTCTGATTTATGAGATTTATTGACCAAGATTCATACATGCAGGGTTATGTTTGCCTCCCTTCTGCCCTGCCATAGTTTGTAATTCCTTAATAACGGAAAAGGGTGAGGGAACTTAGAATGCACCATCCAAATAAAATGCAGATGTTTTTCTCAATAAATCATCCATGATGGCTTTTTTTTCTTATGAATTCACCTATTCTAAACTCACAGTTCTAAATACATCATAATTCCTTGCAAAAACCAGAGAGCGTGGCTGAACCTAGCACCTTGCACCTGCACCCTGGCGAGGGGAAGGAGCCCGTTACATGCGGTGAGCTGGAGCCGTTACTGGTGGTTAGGAGGCTCCCTGCGGCTCCTAGTCTTTCTGCTGTCTTCAAAAAGCAGATGCTGAAGTTTGTAGATGGTTTTTCCATGTGTAAGAGCATGCACCGCTTAAAGAAGTGGGTACATAGGGACCGTAGTTACAGTAGAAAGCTCTAAATCAGTTATTATGGTTGTGTGCCCTGGCTCTTCAATAAGCCCGGAGCAAAAGGATGGGAGGAAAAGCGCAGGGAGACATGGGGAGACAGGAGGAAGGGAGAGGAGAGAGCTGATGGGGCAGCAAAGACAGAGGTGCCTCTGTGAGCTGTACCTGGAGTTGCCTCATCTGCTGCAGCTGGAGCCTGAGTTCGGCCACGTTCCGCTTCATGTCAAGCAGGCTCATGTGGATGGCCGAGGTGCCGGCAGGCAGGGGCTGGCTGGAGGGCGTCGTGGGCTCCAGGGCACCCAGAGTCTTCCCACCAGAGATGTGGGGTGTGCCTATGAAGAAGAACAGCTCAGGACCTTAGGATGGCGGAGAGGGAAGTCTGATGAGCTATGAGCCCCATCCCAAAGCAGATTGCTGGCAACCCTAAAATGCCATTTCTTTCATTATGGAAAACAACAAGTCATGCAGTGTTATGGGATGCGGTCTATAAACATCGTGATCCAGAAGTTTAGTGTCACAGGATGGCAGACCACAGAGCACGTGTTACATGATGCCACGAAAAGGAACCTGCCTGCCTCCTTCCTCCTTCTTTTCTCCCTCCCTCCGTCCCTGCCTCTTCCCTTCCCTTCCTTCCTTCTTATCTGCCTCCCTCCCTCTCTCCTTTTTTCTTTCTATCTTCATTAAACATACAGAATCCACATAGAATTTGTAGGATCAGCAAGGTTTAAGGTCTGAGAATTAAAAGCAAGTACTGTATCTTCTTTAAGACAGTGGAATCGTCTGGAACAGGTCCCCAGAGTACATGCTGAATCCATGGCGCTTGCGTGCACACACACACACACACACACACACACACTTAGTTTTCTTTCCTATAAAGGGGATGTGGCATCCTTGGACTGGGCCAGGCTGGCGGTACAGGGCAGAATCTGCCACTGACTGGCACATCCTGCAGTGGTTCCTTGGCAGCGGCCGGTCTTTCCGTCCTGGTGCAGCAGCCAGGGACCCTTTCCTTCCCCAGCACACACAACCCTGCAGAGCCTCTATAGAGCTGTGGCCACGGGCTACAGGTGACATCCAGTGAGGGAGGAGGTGCCTGGCAACTGTGCTCTGACTCCTGGTCTCCAGAGTGTGAAGACAGCTGATGCCACACCAAGTTCTGCTCCCTGAGTGACTGTCCAAGGAGAGTTGTCTCCTAGCCCCTCTGAGGTCTCCCTGGGGAAGCCAGGAGAATAGGCCAGAAGGTACTGTAAAGAAACCCTAGCAGCCCACACAATGAGTTTTTTGTTCTTTTGGGCCTAAATGGTCACTCACATCACCAGCACTCACAGCTCAGACCAATCTTTGGTTGCCCTTTCCCCCAACCCCAAATCAAAATCACCCTCAAAATGAGCAATAAAAGAATATCCAATATCATTTCCAATAACAGCGACACATTAGGATTAACTCAGTGCTTCCAAGGGCTGAGGCAGGGTCCGTCTTGGAAATTTTCCTTCTAGAATCAGTCAAATTACTTTATTGTCATTGCCTATACCTCATCAAAAGTGTGGGTTTATGCACATCCAAGCACACACAGACACACACGTACGCATGTACAAATGCATGCACGCACACCATAGAACATCATTGATATAACACATGGCTTCATTGAGGTATTTCTCCAACAAAAATGACACTATGCTCTCTAACCACTTCCTGTTGGTAATGTAAAGGTTCTGCTAGTTCCTCAGCCGATTGAAGACACCCATCTCTTTGATATTCCTCACACTTTACCATTCTGAGGACAGCAGTGCACCTCCATAATCTTTAATTCTTACAGAAAAGACGTTCAAGTCCTCACACCATCTGTTAGAGTTGAATGCTGATAGCTTGCTTTAAAAAATATCTTTCACAACCAAATTTCCTTATGGAATTTGCACACATTTTTAGGATGTCTTTATCTGTAACCTCTTAGCCCATCCCACTGGTGGCCAGCTCCACCGCTCACAGAAGTGGCTCTTATAAGGGGGCTAAAGAACTAGCTGTCCACCCAATGGATGCTGCAGAACTGTCCTCTCCCTTGCTGTCTTCCATCCCAGCTGCTCCCTCTTTTCTCCTTCCTTGCTCTGCCAAGCTCTGAAGTCACGGTGTGTTCCGTACCAGTCAGCCTCTCATTTTGCTGGACACACTTCCTAGAAAGACCACCTCCACCTCCACTGCCTGCCCACCGCTCACACCTTTGTCTCCAGCATCCAGTTATCTTCAGACCCACACACCGACAGATTCAAGTCACTACTTGATATCCTCACAAGCAGGTCAGAGTCATCATTGCCCTCACCTCCCCCAAACCTCCTTTTGTGCCCCTGGACCTCGCCTTAGGCAGTGACACTTGTATCTACTCAATTATTTGAGTTTCCAAGCCAGAAAGTTTGGAATCATACTAAGTATCCACTTGCTAGTGTGTGACCTTGGGCAAGGAACCCAGTAGCAATCTCTTCCTCTGCTTCCTTATCGGTAAAATGGGCATGGCTTGGTAGAATCAACATGTGTCTGGCCTTTGCTGCTGTTAGCTCTGAGTATTATTTCTTTGAACAGAGTGGCAGAAACTGCTTCCGTCGGCTTCCCCTCCTCCCCTAGATCCTCAGCATGTGCAAAGGGCCAGGGTTTGGGGGAAAGAGCAGCTGGCTGAGACCTACAAGCAAGTGCCTTGAAGTCTAGATTCAGAATGGACATGCGTTTGGAGGTTGGCGACAGCAAGCGGATCCCCATTCAGCCTGCATTCACCAAGCCTGGGGTTGACTCTCCACTCCCACCCATATGGGGTCATATTCTGCCCTCTCGAGCCAGCTTTCTGAGGACGGTCAACATATACTTTGTCCCCAGGACCTTAATCTTGTCTCTACACTCCACTTACTCCAGCTAATTCATGTTGGGTCGGTTATTCTGAATGTTGTAAGTACACACTTGACATGAACTTAATGTATCATGTGACAGAAGATAGAGTTGGGATAGGGCAAGACTAGCTGTCACTCTTAGGAACTCTGTGGCTTTGAATGAATAGCCTCACCTCCGAGAGTCAATTTCCAGGTAAAACACAGAGAACAACTTTCTTCCTTTATAGCGTTACATGCGCTACGTGATATAATCCATAGTATAAAATGCATGCTATACTTTGGAAGTGGGAGATTCCTTCTATTTTCTTATACTTACAGTGACCTACATATTCCTAATGTAACCAGGCAGGCTGGCTTACCTGTGGCCCGATGAGTTCCTTGACTTCTATATAATTCTGTTTGTTTGTCTACAGGACCGGTATAAGACCTCTTGTCTTGCAACTTACTTCCAGGGATTCTGGAAGAATTAATATATTTTGTGCACTGTCCTAGGCTGCTATGGCAACAGAACCCCTGTGGACCATATCTAGGATGGTATGTTATAATGAGAAAGCCCAAATTCAGCAGAGACCTGGGGAGCAAGGACACATGGATGCTGCCAGGGGCAGCACTAACCAGCTCGGCCTTTCAAAGAAGAGAACTGACAGCAGGTCTCCAGTGCCATGAAGCTGCCTGTCCCTTTGGACTTAGGGATTCCATTTTGGGAAAAAAAATCCAAGGAAATCACACTTGCCCCTCTCTCCCTGCTCAAAAAAGACATTTACAAAACTTTTCAAAACAGAAATGAAACAACTTCCTGTGTCTCTCCAAGGGACAGGAGTAACTCAACATAAAGAATGAGATAAAATGACAGGTGTGTCGACTAGGCTGCCGTGTGTCACATGTGCTGGGATGTGTTCTGTTTCCTTATCTGAAACATCAGATTAAAATTATACCAAGTCCTTGAGGTTGCAGTCAGAAAAGAAGAGTTAATGCTTTTTAAAAAAGGAAAAAAAAAAGCCAGAATAGTACTGGGATCACAGGAAGTACTCACTGAATGTTTCCTATTGTTCTTATTTCACGAAAAGTGAGATAGACAAAAAGGAGAGAACACGAGCAGTACATATTGATCACAACAATGCTATCAGACACCAGTCACTTCTCGAATGGACTCTGGAGAGCTGGAAGGTTTTGCATTAAGTACATTCCATTCTTCCCCGCTAAGTTCATAACAAATCAGAAAATAAATGAATGAGTAACTATCTCCAGAACAAATTGGCAATTGCTCTGCAGACAAGTTTAGCAATTTTGATGAAATAATTGTCTGGCTTCAGCCAAGGCCACCGATTGATTTCTCAGCAAGCTGTTGGAAAAACAGCCTTGCTGGATTTAAAGCTAAACTGAACTCAGCAGGCGCAGAACCAGGGCCAAGAGGGACTCAAACCTAAGTTCCAAATTCTATCTGCTTCACTATGCTGCACAAAACGAGGCTTCCCAAAATTAAGGGTTTTGCCTCACTTGCCATATGTTTCTGTGTAATTTAGCTTCTGAACATATCCCTTCTGGCATTTCTATTTCTAATCCCCTGGGAGGGAAGCCCACATCTTCTTGAGAGGGGCCTCTCTGGAGACCACAGGAAAAGGCTTCATTCTTAGGAAACCAGGACACTAGGACACTCCTCTGGGGATGCAACTGGTCCTTGTTATGTTTTGGGTCTAAAATGTGCCCAAGGCCAAGGGCTGGGGGCTTAGTTGTCAGCTGGTGAGCTTTTGGAAGGGGTTGGGTCATAAGTGCTTTAACTTCACCAGAGGATTGATTCATTGGTGGATTAGTAATTTGATGACATCTCTGAGAGGGGATGGAAAGGTAGGAGGTGAGGCCTAGTTGAAGCGAGTGGGATATAGACAGGGGGATTTTAGGGACTGTATGTGGTCCCTGGCCTTCTCCTCTCAGCCGCTCTCTCACTCTCTCTCTCTCTCTGCTTCCTGGCTACCATGAGGTAAGCAGCTTTGCTCCACCATGCCCTTTGCCATGATGCTTCTGCCTCACCACAGGCCTAAAAGCAATGGAGCCAGCTGACCATGGACTGAAATCTCTGAAACTCTGAGTCATCCTAAATCTTCCATTGTTTTAAGCTGGTTTTTTTCAGGTATTTTGTCACAGTGATGGAATACTGACTAACACAATCTTCTTTGGGTAGGAGCGGGGGATGCTAGCATTTAAAAGGTAGGCCCTGGTCCAACAAAACCCTTTTCTCCCACCTGGATCACGGATTGCTCCCTACTCGCTTTTGTCCCTTCCCATCCATTGCCATGTGGGAGCTGGGCCCCTGTCCTTCCCCAGGGACCTTCTGACAGCTTCATGTTGCTCAAAGAGTAGTGTCCGAGTTCCTCCACCTGCACCACTCCTCCCGCCTCTCACTTCCTCAAGTCCGGCCACGTTTGTACCCACTCTGCATTGCATCCCCAGGAGGATGCTAATCCTGCTGAATGAACAGACATCCTGTACTTCTTAACCCTCAGCTCACATTCAACATCTCGCCCCATTTCCAGCTTCTCTAGAGTGTGAAGTTCTACCCAGGCAGCTGTGCTTTTGAATGATGCTCCCGGTATGCATCCACTGTCCCAGACATACCAATAGACCGTGGATGCGAGGTCATATAAATAAATAAATGAACGGGTGAGTGAATGAACAAACAATGAAGGTAGACAACGTTTCATCCCTTGAACTAATGCCTAAATCTAGAATTCTGGCATTCGTAAAAAGCTACAGTGGTGCAGGGAGTCATCCCAGAAGCCTCTGAAATCCCATCAAATCAACAGCTTGGGGAAAGGTCAACTACTTCTGAAACCAGCCAGGGCTGACCAGAGGCAGCTCCCATACCTACTAGAGTTCCGAGGACACTTACTTACCTGCACTGTCTGTGTGGTTCCTGTTGGCGGTGGTTTTCATCACTTTCTCACTGAATAAAAGAAAAGTAAGGGTCAGCTATTTTCCAATGTGCCTTTCCCCCCTTTCCTTCAGTATTCTAAGCAATGAGCGGTGATGGGGTTAAGCCATGAGGACATTTTGGCTGCAATGGAAAAGGCTTCCCCGGTGCGCATCGCACACCGGGGTGGGTGCGGCGGGGCACACTGGTGACTCAGATGGTGGCAGAGGTGCGCACGCGTGGTGGTGCTTGCAGGCATTGCACAGCGAGTGGTCCACGAAGCCCCATGCACCAGGACGCTCATTTACCCTTCTTGGGCCAAAGTGTTTCCTTCGTCCAAGAATTACCAGGAGGTCAATAAAACAAACCAAACCCCATGAATCATAAAGATATGAATATTTTCAGCCTTGAGATGATTACGAGGAAACAAATTTGAATGCATGAATGATCTTAATGATTAAAGAGAAACAAGTTGGCTTATGGGTTCATTGGATGGCTTGTATCTTTTTACCTAGATGCATCTTTGCTACTACTTGTAATGGGCCCTTTAAAAAGCGCAGACTGCACAAGGCCAGTTAAACTGGCAATCTGCTTCTCCATGGCTTGCATCCTCTCTCTGTAAAACAAGAGAATTGTTTGTTAAAGCTCTATTGACTTTCAGACTTTTTTTTCTAGGTGAATGATCCACCTGATTATTATAAAGGTTCTAAAAGTACCACCGAGTCGCTGCTCAAGGGCACCCTAGCCTAGTTCAAACTGAAAGGCTTGTAAGTCCCTGGCTGCAATCAAGACTAAATGATCAGAGGTGAGGATTAAACTAGCGGTCACAATAAAAACACACGGCGCAGACCAGCAGAGACCTCCTGAAAACATCTCCCTAGAAAATCTTCCTCTTGGAATCATGTGGTTTTGAGTCTTTCCACCCTGCTTTCATTTTACCTTGCCACAAAGGGCTCTTCCCTGAGACCAACAAGGCCCTAGGGCGGGTACTGGATAGTCACACACATCTCAAAGCTGCTCTTCTCAGCTAGCAGGCCACCAGCTGGCTTTGGAGTAAATGATGGAGATGTTTGCTGTAGGTGGAATTGTACTAGTTTTATAGCCCAAGGGCAACATAAATGTCTCTTATTCAGACCACTGACATCAACGTGTGTTTGGGAGTAAATGATGTTCAATCTAATATCCTAGGAACTCTAGCCTGGAGGATTTTATAGGATCAAACAGGAAAGTGAATATCTGTAACAACTTGATCATCCCAAGGCATTAATAAAACATTCCTCCAGTTACTGACCATGGACAGATGCTATGCTAGTCTCGCTTTAGGCCTTTCTGATGCCACATCAAGCATTTGAGATAGGCTCATATTTCTGGGCCTCTCACAATGGTCCCTTTACAGAACTATCACTGTTATTTTCAGTATATTATAAAAACAACAGCACAACAACTGAGTGAAGAGGGTATCACAATTCACCTCCTGTGAATTCAAGTGCACGTACTTGGTAGTCAAAAATAGGGAGGGAAGAGAGAGAAGAATGGTTTTAAGGGTGTTGGTATCTTATCGGCAGTGGTACCCTATCGACTGGTATTCTAGCATGAGCGCTAGCTAAGTGAGTACCATGGGTCTCAGTGCCATGGGCTTCCAGTGTAGTGATGGTGACTCCTGTGTGACAAATAGCACACTCATACACCATGGCTCTTAAATTCAGCTAGACTATGTCATCAGGTACTCAGTGCAAAAGTATCTATTCTTTCATGAGAAAAAAGCAACTGGTAGGGTTGGGCATGTAGCTCAATGGCACAGCCCATGCCTGGCAAATGCAAGGTATTGAGTTTGATTCCCATTCAAAAAAAAAAAAAAATGCAACTGGTTCAGATATGGTAGATCTGTATCCTGAACTTTATGGCAAATGATTATTTTTGTGTTTCAGGGCCTTGAGTTTTACCTTCAGAATATAACCTTTAATGCCATATGGAATGTCAAGTTTGATTTTGTAATGACAAGCTTCTGACTTCAGAATTCCTGTGTTTAGTTTACGAGTAAAATTGATGCTTCTGTCACAATACCAAGTTTCTGGGATGTAAGTCATACAGTCCAGAGAGTTAAGGATTGTAAACCCACCCTGATCCAAAATTTAAGAATTAATAGCATGACGTCTCTGTTCTAATAGAGTAAAGAGAAGAGGTCTCACATGACAAGCATGGAAATGCATCTGCAGGTATTATGGAGTGACCTTACAAATGTGTCCAGTACACCAATGGCAGATGCTAAGCCTCTGAGGATAGAGCATTTTCAGCCATACCTGTGTTCTTAGGCTCCTCATTCCCATAAAATGGTCAATGTGTCAAAGAGAAAAATTAGGAAGAAAAGCAAGTTAGTAAAACGTCACTGGAAATCCCAGTTACAGCAGGATCTCAGAAACGATGGGGTGTTGGCTGATCAAGCTGTCTGCCATATGGGAGACATGGACTCACACAAGCTCTTGGGAAATAAATGACATCCTTGGGGATCATGCTCAGTACTGGGTGGGAGTTGTTCAGTGCCTTTATTCATCCCACAGGGACTGCCTCGGTCCACAGCAGTGCTGGAAGTAAAACTCATGACCTGCAGCGAGAGGTGAATTCAGAGCTAAAGTTGGTTGTTTTTATTCAGTCCTAGGCATGTAGTATTTTTTTTTAAGCAGTATGACTTTTCTAGGATCTATAGAGCTTGGTTAGGACATGGCCTAAAGTTCTCGGCACCTGGGGTGTGAGGCAGGAAGGCAGGATGATAACCTAAACACACACAGACAACAATAGCAAGAAGTGCAAGAGACAGGTGGATGTATATTGTAGAGAACAGACAAAAACCTGCTAAGAGAGAAATGGCAGAAGTGCTGGGATTCCAGCCCCGCCCATGGGTGTGGTGCTGACAAGGTCCATCCCAGTGTTCTTTTGGACCCCTCTGTAGTCCACAGCCTTCATCACCTCGCCCAACAAAGCAGAGCAGGAGCATTAAAACCAAAGCAAAGCCCTGGGATGACTCTGGATAGAGGACACTGATCTTCAGCTGGTCCCCGACTGTGGGTAAAACTATGGGATGCCACTGCACAGGTGGGTCGTCTCCACAAGAAGCCACAGGCTTCATATATGCCTTTGGCATCTTCCTGGGCTCCATGGGTGCTTGGCTTCTCCCCTGGGCTTTCCCCAGACAATGATTCAGGATGTGGATAAAGATAATTCCCAATTCACATCCCACTCCTCATTGAGGACTGATAACAATGGGGCAGTAGAACTGCTTGGGGTGTGGTTTGGATGCTTTGAAGCAAAAGCTCTCTGTCCAATCCAGAGAGCCAGATGCTTTGTTTTCCTTTTAGTATCTGTGTGTTAGGGCATGCATGCCCCTGGGTGGCCTCTTCCGGCTGGTGTCACCAGCAGGACCACCAGGAAGGAGACACGAGGTATCAGGGACAACCAGTCCGATGGCAGCTCACTGGCCACCCTCCCCAGACAGTTGAGATACTTGAGCCCAACAGCAGCACGTCTGACCACTGGGGAGGCAGCGCCGCACAGAGAGCTGACTGCACATGCGCGTGCAGCTGTCTCAGTCGAAACCACTTTACGAAGAAACAATTCTATTAACACGTGGTGATGAGAAAACTTTCCCCCCATTTAATCATCAAAATGTTTCTGGTTTCAGGATTCATTTGAGGGAGATTATCTGATTTATAAATTCATAAATAAGATTGTCTTTCCATTTCATGGTTGGTAATCTGGAAACAATTTTATGGTTTAACTAAATTACAGCAACTGGAAACTTACACAGCCTTCGCCCATGAAGAAATGTTATGAAGTATGTTTTAATGTGAAAGGGGAAAAAAATTAAAAGAAATGCAGTGGAAGAAGTGGAATTAAGCACAACCCTGTCATTTTATTGCATTGGCAATTTTGCATGATAATCACCAGAATATTAAAGACACTTAGGTGAATTGATGTCAATATCACTGGGTTTAAGGTATTATAGGACTGGTATAATTACTGTTGAAAAGATGATTCAAAAATGATTTCATAAACCATGTTATATCATTCCATAAACCATATTTATGCGATTAGGAGGTATGGTTAGCTAGTCATTTACTGCCATAAATCAGCTCGGCTGAATGAATCTTACTGAGACCCAAACATAATCTGAGTAGAAAATTCAAGTCAAATTCAGGGAAAGTGCTAATCCCAGCTTCCACCAGCTACTACTGGAAGCAGCTCATTGTTAACTTGGTGTCTGTCCATGAGGATAAAGTGACTTATTTGCTGTTGAGTTGCTCCCTCTGTTTTCAAGCGAATCAAGCAGAACAACCTGTGTTTGGGGAAATATTTTCAGCTAATGACTCCATTTACACAACTTTATACTTCTGGTTTCACCTTCAACATTTTTTGACTTGGGATATGTCTTTGTACTGGCCAGGGCCTCATTAAATCCAAATTAGGTCCTTATCCTTGTATGGCTAAGTAAATGAATGGCTATTAAAAATCAAGTCAACACTGTAATAAGTGTGAGTCTGGCAGTTCCCTTATAATGAATCTCACAGGATATATTTTTAAATATCCAAAAGACATAGAGAGGAGCAGGCTAAAACCAGTCAGCTGAGCTGATGTGATTAGCTTTGGGTCAGAAACATTAACTTTCCTAACCAGAAGCTAATTTTGAAAAGCAGTGGTATAGGATAGTCAGTAACAACTACAGTAACCCCAACTGGTGTTCTAAGAATACTTACTGGGTGGTCTCCCAATTGGCTTCTAATTCTAACAATTTGTGAGTTTGTTTCAGCTCCTGATTGATATGGTTTGAATCTTATGGACACTCCAGTGGCTCTTAGTCACTGGGGGTATAGGGTCTCTATTTGCTACCCAGCCTTGCTCTATCATGCTCTTCCCTCCATGATGTTCTGCCTCACCAGAGATCCAGAGCAACAGCATCAACTTACCATGGACTGAAGCCTCTGAAACCATGACCCTAAATAAACCTTTCCTCCTTTTCAGTTGTTCAGCTCAGGAATTTTGCGATAGCAATGGAAATCTGACCAACGCTCTGTTTATTCTCTCTTATTTGTCTCCCCCCAGAAAGTGATGAATGGCTAATAAGTCATTCTGCACATATTTTTGAGCCCATCCTATGTGCTAGGTGCCACAGTAGCTGCTGTGGGTGTAGGAAAGTACTGTGGTTCCCAAGCAGCATCTCCCTTTTACAATATCAATATTTCCCCTCTGGGAGAAATAAAACTGAAAACCTTTTTAGTCTTGGCAGCACTGAAGGTATTTTCCAGAATGAAATAGTGAACAAGTTTAAAGCTAGGCTATGGCCTTGTTTGTTCATGCCCTGATTCTATAGCATGGAGAGGGAAAATAAAGACACTGCTTTTAGATAAATTCAGCGAAACACTGGAATCCACATGATCAGAACTCAGGGTAGGGCCTTACATACTACTCCGAATAATGACCTTTCCATTTCTGCCCAAAGTTAGTTATTGGTTTTAAAAAAAAAAAGGTATATAACTGAAAACATTGTTCCAAAAGCCTCTCAAAGCTTATGTACTGAAAGCGTGAACCTTAGCTGATGGTCCTGGGGTCGGGGGGAGTGGGGGA